AGAATTAGCAGCTATTTCAGCAGTTTGCAGTGGAATGGGGCCTTACACCTGGGCCCACCAGTTCCTGCTATTCCCAAGCCATGCGCTTGCTGAAAGCACTCTCCGAATATCGATTTTCATATTTTTAGAAAGCTTTAAGTTATGTATGTGAGGTTGTTTCACCCTGACGTAGAAAAGAATTTCTTAGTCCCGTAAATGAGTATTGAAGTCAGCATTTGGTGTAAAAAGCCTATAAATAAAATAGTGTGTTAGGTGCAGGATCCCTAGAATTCAGCAAATCCAGGACTCATGGATTTAACCCCATTTGATATTTCTGCCAGTATTTACACTGAGACTAATTAGCCTCTGTTATCTCACGTTGTGGCTCGATTGCAAGCATTGATGCTTGTTACATTAGTAATTGTATATAAGCTGGAAGGTTCGGGAGCCTGTGAGCGGGTGGGTGACGCTGCGGAGCACAGCCCAGTGCCCCCCCACTGCCCACCGCCTGGGGAAGGCAGTACCCCTGCCACCTCCCGGGGCGCCTGCCCCAGCCCTGCTCCTCCAGGAGATGAAATCATTAAGCAAAGAGCGCGTGCACCAAAGGAGGCTGTTGATACGCAACCAGTTTTCTTCTCAAATAGCGTTTTGTTCTTCGCTGCCCATAGTGCAACTTGAGCAATTTCCAAAGCAGCCGTTTTTGTCAGCACCTTTGGTGTAAATACTGTGATGGTAAAGACTAGTACTAGAAATTCTGCTTTGTTTTGGTTTTGGTTTTTTTTTCCTTATATAAAACTTGCTTCTACTTAAGCCTTAGTGTTGAGTTGTAACAAAGCATAAAGTTAAAATGGTAAATCCCTTAGAAAAAGCAGATGGAAAGGTGACTCATTTTATTTACCTGTAACATTTAAACAGCAGAAGAGGTTGACTGTCACCTTCTCCTGAAAATGAGAATTTATCTTGGAGAAAGGCTGTAGGTTTGCTGCGGATACACTTTATTTTTGAGTACCACAAAGGAATTTTTCCCAGTATAACGGTGCATATATCTGCACATAGCCTTTACCATATAGCATAATAATACTCTGCATGGCATTCACAGAGTATAATAATAAAAATACTCTGTTTACATGCACTTCCATTATTTTGTAGCAGGAAAACTGAAGCAATATAAATTCATTTTTATAGTGGTTGGTGTCACTTAATATGTTGTTCTTCCAGAAGTGATGTACTGTAAATACACATTTCCCGTTAAGTTAGTGTAGAACAAGGCTTAGGTGACACTATTTGTGAATAACAATTTATTTGTGACTGTGACATAATTTAATGAAGATATATTGCTCTAAAATGAATTGGTCTGATGTCAGATTGATGGTTTGTACTTGTGTTATGCATACTGTTTATAAAAGTCCACCATCCCACATGTATATAGAAGAAAAGATTATCAGCTATTCACTCTGCGAATATATAGCTTCATTAAAAGGGCTCCAGAGGTGCATGTAAATTGTGAAAGAAGAGCTTGTGATGTTCCACTATAAAACCTTGCTGAAATTCCCTTTGAATTTGTTTTACATTACTTCTATATACATGTGCATTTTATGTTTGTATACTTTTTAATAGGAAAAATGATGGGGTTTTTTTGCTTAAGTTAAAATCTCTTCTGAAACCCATACAGCTAAACCTACCTGAATGATTTTACTTCTTCATATAAGTGTCAGTCTTGACTTGCTGGAAGTTTCGCATAGAATAATGCATGTGAAAGGGAGAGTCTTTACTGTTGTTGTCACTGAGAGATGGTGGGGTCACACTTCACAAGGTCGGCAGATGGAAAGAAAATCAATGGGACCAGAATCTTTTTGAAGAGAGGGTGCAGAGGCCAAAAGGTCCGAGTCCAACTTCTCTAGTAGCTGCTTATACTTTTTGAATTATTCAGATACCTGACCATTGATAGGGAATCTTAAGTAGTGTACTTCACCTTAATATACACTCGTTAATAGTCTTGAGTGTTTTGACTTAGTATAGACTGTCCGTAAGTCCAAGGGGAAGCGCGAGAGCTCGTCTAGTGAGAAGAATGGCAATTGAGAAGGCAGCAAAAAGGTGTTGGGGGAGGCGATGGGGCTACTGGAGATGCACACCCAAGTGAAGAAAGCCTTTTGGTCTGTTTGTGAAGAGGTTTCCAATAGCTATTATCAGCGCAAGGCTGATGTGTGTATAACTGTCTGTTTCTCATCTGAGCCCTTGCTAAATACCGTCTGAAAGGGAAGGCTCTTAACGCTGCTTTGGAAAGGTGAAGTTTAAGGTACTTCTTAAGTCCTTAGGGTCCTGCTGGGAGTGAGTCATAGGGAATAGACAGCAATGGCCACCTATATGGAGAGGTGCAGTTTGAGTCTTCCAAGTAGTGTGGCCAACAGGTTACGTTGCTGGTGGTTGGTTGGTTGGGGTTTTTTTACTCATTTCAGCCCTCTTAAAATACCTGTTTGTAACTAATACTGACCTGAGAACAAAGATGTAAAACAGAAATGATGACGTTTAGGCATTATTTTGAAAAAACTGACCGATGTTAGTTATTTGCATGCCCGCAGATAACTGTTCTTTAAGAAAATTCCTTTGCTCCTGCTTTTCTCTTTCCTCGCTTCCCTTTGCCCCTTTGGTAAAGCTATGTAATTTAAAGATGTTTTTCTCTGGTTGAACTGAAAAATGGAAGGGAAAATGGTACTTCAGACATCAAAACATGTCCTTCAAACTAAAATTAATTTATATACCTTTTTCTAGGTATTTGAGCTTTTATTTGTTTCTTTGTTTTAATTCCAGTTCAGCTTTCAAATAATTTAAGTTGATCCAAAACTTCCATTTTGGTGAATTTACAAGGGTAGGTGGGGTTTGTGGGAATTACTGTTCTCTTTTTTTCTAGACACTTGCTCTCTTTTGCTTTTTGACCTTATTTTGACTGGGATTCCCAGCAAGCTGCTCATCGCTGTGCTAGCTTCTGTTCTTGTGACCTTCCCATGCCAGTGGGAAGAAGAGCATGAAACTAGCTGGGATCATGTAGTTCCAGTCACTTTAACATCGTTGCTGCCACAAGCAGCAGAATTTATACTACAGGAGAAGAAAACAGTCATGCCATGTGATGAGCCCGGAGGTATCTCCCACTTGAAACTGTAGGAGGCTTTATGCAACCCTCAAACGCCTGCACCCAGTTTTAATTGCATATGAAACATATTCTTTAAAAGCACCACAAAAAAGTACTTTGCAGTATTTCGAGCAATTGTCTCCTTTCTTATTACCTCACATGCTTTAACGTGCTTTAATGTCAAATTCCACATTCTGTGTGCAGTGCACTCCTGTGTTCCCTCCGAAACGCAGATATACATAGAATATATGCGCGCACGCACATGTTCACACTTCTTCCATGGAAAATGTTGCGTCCATCAGGGTATATTCGTACCTCATTTGAGATGTAGAGAAGACAAACAGTAGAGCATTCCCATGAAGAACGAAGTGTTGCCGACAGGAAGTCTCTCAATATCCCAAAGAGCACACAGGGCCTGTCGTGGTGTGTCAGCCTTTATCCACTGCCCAGTCTGTATTGGCATGCTGCAGCAAAGCAGCAGCGTATGATTTCAGTTAACTTCTCCTAAGCCTTAGTTTGACTGATGGATGAACAGCTGCTATGAAGCTCTCATCTGTTTACTTTTGGGCTTTTTTTGACTCCATGAATTTGTTACTGAAGTCCCGAATTCTGTTGTTTGTACCAAGGGTCAGATCGTGATTTATAGCTTCCATGTAGACTGAAATAAATCCCATGGCTGGGACAGAGCGCTCACTCTTTGGTGCTGCTAGCACAGTGACTGGCGCTTCCTTTGATCCAGAGGCTTTTAATTTATTTTTATTCTTTGTAAAACTTCGGTCTGCTTTGATAATTAATACTTGAGAAATGTCATGCGTGAGGCTCACTGAAAGTTGCATTGAAGAAAACGGGCTGATTAAGCAAGGGACAGAATTATATGTCAATATATTAAATAGAAGTAGCATTTTAGCTTGAAACACTGCAGATGTGGGCAACTTTGGCTTTTTGAGGGGGGAGGGTGGTTTTTTGGGTTCAGCATTTCTTCAGGCACTCTCTTATCCTCATCCCCTTCTTTTAGCATGCATGTGTTCAAATCTAGGTGAGCTGCCATGGTTAAAAAGGAACTGTATGTGTAGGCAAAAACATCTTGTAAGCTGAAATGGGAGATAACTAAGCGCTCCCGCCTGGTGCTGATGGGATTACCAGGTACTGTGAATCACTCAGGCAGAGAGGCCTGAGGTGACGCTTCAGACTTGTTATTACACCAGGGATATTGGTTCCGTTTAAAATAAGAAAGTAGGGTCATCTTACTGTGGTTCAGTTCAAAGCCTTGAAAATGTCTTTTCTTGGAAAGATTTGGCGTAAGCAGTTTTGATCCTTGTGCAGCAGGAGCACATCAGCGGCTGAAAGCAGTGGGGGCTGGGCTGGGGTGTTTGCCCTGTGCCCAGCCCCCTCTTCAAATGAGGATTTCTTTTAAAACAACAAACCATAGGAAGGGGGTGACTTGAAAACTATTTTGTAAGCATTTCTTTTGTTTGGAAGATGCTGTGTAACAGAGGCTCTTCCTTGCCTTTGATTTTTCTTTTTAAAAGGATTTTTAAAGCGTGTAGTCCTTGTCCTAAGATACGCTTATTACAGAGTTCAGTGATGTTCCCTGAAGTCGTAATCTAGCTTGAACTGTTTCCCCTGGCTATACTACGAGACAATTTGACTTTGCGTGAAGTCTTGAAAGCCATATGTAGGGATCACGTTTCAACTTCATGCTCTCCCTACACTGCGAATGACAAAATACACTTTGAAGTGCTTTTTCATACTCTCTACTGCTGCATTTTGCATGCAAGTGAATATTAATAAAAATAGACCTGCGCTCACTTCTGGCTTTAATAGGTTGTTCTGTCATCTCTTAAATTTTTCTCTCTTGAATTTCCTATTTTTAAAGATTTTATTTTGTTTATAGTGCCAGGCCCTATACCTGCCAAGTCGGTGAAAGGAACTCCTTTTGAAGATAAGATCTTCCTCAACTGGAAGGAACCTGTGGATCCAAATGGCATCATTACTCAGTATGAGGTAATCATTAAATAGATACAAGCAAAGGATAGGTCTAGGAAAGTGGGGCAAGAAGGGTGGCTTACATTGTGTGTTTATGCTTTGTAGACAGCTATTCAGTTATATGCTGCTTTCATTTACAGAATGCTGGGGTTTGTATAGTGATTAGATATTCAAAACTCATAATTACAGTGCATATGTTGTTGGCTGGCCAGCCCTGTCAAGTGGCTTTGGCATGTGAGTATAACATCACAATCCAAGTGGGAGGTGCTGGTGTAAAATCTTGTATCATTACTACAGACCCTTCCAGAGCTATGACAGCCATGATCTGTGAGATCATTTTTGTGGGAAGAGAAGGTTACGTGAAAAGTAAGATTATTATTAAATTTGGAGGAATGCTCTTTTTTAGCTTTGGCAGATCTTTAGGTATCACCCTTCGAGGAGATGTCCTTTTTTTATTTTTTTTTTTATTTAAAGTGTGTTTAATATATGTGCCTTCTGGGTAGCTCCAGAGGAGGCTGGCAGGAAACACCAGCTGATTTGAAGAACAAACATCCTCTCCAGCACTCCTGGATGTAGTTTTGTGTACTAGTGACTTATAGGAAGAAGACAAACCGACTAACCAAACAAAACCCCTTAAATGTGTTTATTTATCTAATTATTGCTAATAAATTTTAGATAGTGTGTGGGTTAACCCTGGTGGGCAGCTCAGCCCCAGTTAGCCGCTTGCTCACCCTCTTGCAGCAGGATGGGGGAAAAATCAGTAGGGCAAAAGTGTGAGCTCTTGTGTTTCAATCACAAATCCAAACCACAGCACCATATGAGCTACTATGAAGATTAACTCCATCCCAGTCAAAACCAGTACATTAAGATATCACTGCTGGCTTTAAATATATTAGCTTAGTTTGGACAGCATTTCAATATGATTATGAGAAGAGGAAAATGCATTAGTGGGAATGAAAAATAAAGGGGTTTGGTAGAGATAGGGAGGATGGTGGGGTTGTCCTAACTTAAATGTAACAGTGAAATTCTCCATACGTGAATTAAAATCACAAAGAAAGAGAGATGAAATGTGTCTGCAAAGCCTTTAAAGTGAAGCAGACTCTACAATAATGCACATCAAGTCCTCATGGTATCCTCCAGACAGCTGGGTAGCTAGATGAGCATGTTCCTTTTATTTTCTTTCCAGCTGAGCTAACCTAATCTCCTTGTGCCAAAACCTGTAACAATCGTTACAAAAATGATTGTTTTCGCAGGTCAGCTATAGCAGTATACGGTCCTTTGACCCTGCAGTTCCAGTTGCAGGACCTCCACAAACCGTGTCGAAGCTGTGGAACAGCACACACCACATCTTCTCACATTTGCATCCCGGTACTACTTACCAGTTCTTCATACGTGCAAGCACCATCAAAGGGTTTGGACCGGCAACCACAATCAATGTGACAACCAACATCTCGGGTAAAAACAAAAACAAAGTGTGTGTGTGAATGTTCACTGGTTTCATTCAGCTTTGTGGGACCATTTTTTGTAAGACTTGAAAAATCAGCAAATGTGAAAGAAAACCCCAAAGGAATCCTATCATATTGTGAAATTATATTACTGAAAATGTTTCAGAGCATATTTGCCAAACAGTGGCATAAGTTCAGGGATAAATCCTTGCAAGAGATGGAAATGGCACACCTGTAGTTGTCAACTGTTTGATTTTGTGTAATCTCGTACTTTCATCTACAGATTTTGAAGTGCTGTATAAACCTTAGCTAATTAAGCCTTTCAGCACTCCATAGGTCACTAAGTACTATATTTGTTTTGCAGATTAGTATGAAGTCAGATGCAGGAAATGGACTGACTTACTCAAGGTGACGCCACTTAGCAGCACACAGCCATAACAGAAATGGGGCGGTTGGGAGGAAGTGTGAATTTCTTCCACCAGACCCATATAAGTCTGCTTCCTCATGCCTTTATTCATTTACTGCAATGCACCAAAGATTGGCACTATTCATTGTAATAACACACTGCAAACTCTAGGAGAAAGTAACTTCAATGGAATATTAAAGCATTCAGTGGAATGCTTTAATATTTTTTTTCTTAAATTTTAGTATTCTTAAAAAAAATATATAGTATCTTATGTAGTTGATAACAGAAGATAAGTCGATGCTATATGTAGAGACTGTTGATTTTATGACATGGTGACTGCAGAGCTTGGCAGAGATCAAAGTAGTCGGTCATTTAAAAATGTAAACAGCACAAAGCAGGCTATTTTCTGTATTATCTGCCATAATAAAACTTATATTGTCCTATAAAGGGAAATTAATAATGTATTGGAAAGCACCTACTATTTCTGTGGGAAACTACTCACGTAGTCTCCTCACCCAGTTCCCAAAAACATGCGTATGAATCAAAAAGTGAGAAAATTTAAGACAGAGCTCCTTGAATTATGTAGCAAGTGAAATGCTGTAGTTGTCATAGTTAACTGGAATAATATCTTGAATTCCATCCCAGCACGTAAGTACTAGCACGCATCATACCCCAGCCCCTTCAGAAAAACCCCAGCCAAACCACAAAAAAAAAACAAACAAACAAACAAAACAAAAAAAAACAAACCAAAAAACCCAAACCAAACTAAATGGCATGTTCTGTTCATCTCTATCTATTAGGTTGTTTTGAAGTCTAGTATTTTACTCAGGTTCTTTTAAAGTCCTTGTGTTTCTTCACAACAAATTCAACTTCATAAATTTTCAGAGATAATGGTGGGTGAATTATTTCCATACTTGTTTTGCTCTTCTCTTTATAGGAGGGGAAAAAAAGTGTAACTATGTAGTATCTTGGTAGTATGTCTGTCCCACAAACATTTCAGTATTTTGAGCAATAAGCACCTCAATATGTTCTGGTTATTTAGGACTACAGTTTGTTCAGGCTTTTTCAGATATGCCATCTCTTTCCACCCAGAAATTGTGGATATTTTATCCAGAATCCAGTCTATCACACTTTCTAGACACAGTATAGGTCTGTCAGTTGGTGAAATATGGCTAATACAAGGAAAGTTTAAAGGCAAGCTGTGGCGCCCTTTGTGTCTGAATTCCAGCCTGGTTTTTTTCATCTTGTGTTATGCGAACCGCTGTCTAGTTTCACTTTGCATAACTGATGCTTTTTACGAAGCAATACATATGTTTCAGGAAGTGTTAGCTTTGTTTTAATGAGGAGTGAAATTATTCCTTTCAACCATGCTTACAAGTGACTGCAGTGATCATACTGAACACGGTGTAAATAGTAAGTTGTAAGTGAACATTAAATGAACATTATTTCTCTAAAATAATATTTCCTGAAATAAGAGCAATTCCTGTGTTCACCTAGAATCTGGGACTAATGAAGCAAGGCTTTTAATCTTTCATTGCTCTTCTGCCTATTGATATGTTTCAATAAAATTATTATGACTTAAATGATTGACATCCTTCTGGGAAACATCTTTTTTGTGAAAGTTAATTTTTAAAAATACAGGCATCAGTAACAGTTTTATAAAGATATGCCCACATATTTAAAAAAAAAAAAAAGCAGACACTTTTCAAGCCTGTTAAAGATTAATATTTAGTAGAAATCTCTTATTTTGTGACTCGCAGAAAATCCTGGTTTTTTCCTTGCATTAAAGCTGAAGTCAGCAACAGTATTACCAGTGAGGACTGTGGTAGGTTTGTGGCAGCAGGTTCAAGTTGGATGGCTGAAGTGGTCACCAACACCAACCATCCAACCCACACCAAAGGCCTGGCAGCCAGTCCATTAGTGAATCAGTCCCTGAACTGCTTCCAGTTTTGACTTTGATTTTGTCTTTTCTTAACCCCCTGAGCTGAAACCTTTCGTTGTTCAGAAACTGATTCATGAGCAGCTTGGCCATCCACTGTAAGTAATGGAAGGGGAAATGGTCATCAGAAGAGACTCTCCCATCCTGTTCTACCCCACCAATGCATGTCTGCCCGAGCCCAATTTTCCTACAGTCTGGTTGGTATTGGCATAGTTTCCCATGATGTGTAAGAAAAAATGTGAAAGGTTCTTAAATTGTTGGATGAGGAAAAAGAGAGTTGATAGAGATTCACAAGATGGTGAATGTAGTTGTTTGTAAAGTATAAAGAGCGAGGCCAAATTAGGATTTGGTAGTCTTGTGGTTTCTTGGCAGTCACCTCCTCCCTCTATTTCTGTCCTTCTGGGATGAACTTGTTTCACTTAATAGGCATCATGATTTGAGAGGGAGCAGTTAGGGATGGGGGGGGTTATCAGTTGTTGAAGTCTTATTCATGCTCTAGTAAAAGATTGTACTTGACTGGAAAAATCTTTAAAAAAAAAACTCACATAGCTGATGAAGGTTGTGGCTTTGTACTATATTGCAAACAGCCACAGTCTCATGAAAATTCAAAATGTTTTCACTGATCTATTTCTCGTTCTTTTCCTTCCCACTTAATCAGCTCCAACTTTACCGGACTATGAAGGAGTCGATGCATCTCTAAATGAAACTGCTACTACAATAACTGTACTTTTGAGGCCAGCACAAGCCAAAGGTGCACCTATCAGGTAAAAAAAAAAAATCAAAAAGAGATTTTTTTAGTTGATTATATGCTGTCTCACAGCTCATAGAGCTGTTCATTTCCAAGTGATATTCATTTGACTTACTGTTGTTTTTCTTAGCTAGACTGAGCTTGCCAATAGAACTATAATTAAAAAGAAAAAAAAATCTTGGGGTTTTTTTTTTTTCCTCCTTTCAAAGATAGTTGTGACCTGAATCACCCAGCTGTCTGTCCTGTTTGATTTAGGGTCCCCAGGACCACCTCCTATCCATTATAATTTCATTTTACTTTCTCACAGTGTCTGTGAAATATGAGGTTGAAAGGTGTTTGTCAAAAAGTGGGTTTGAAAATAACACTTTCTCTCCAGTGCTTCAAATCAGTTCTTCCATAGCAAATATGTATGATTGGAAAATTGAAAGCTCAGAGGAAATGGGAGAATAATAGCGATGAATACAAACTATTTGACCTTTTTCCTTTCAGAGTGCTTCTTACTAGGAATCATGTAGCAAGCTATTAAATTTTATTTGGCGTGTCCCATAATCATATTAAAATGTTTCATTTATGTTAACTTTGAGGGGTCTTTCCCTTTCTGCTCTCTATTCAGAGATAATTTAATTCTGTTTGCAAAGATTAGTCCACATCCTGCTCTTTACTTCTACTTGTTCGTGCTAAAATTTTGTGCTGTTATTTGATTCCATTTGTGTTTTACTGATGTGGCTGCATCAGCAATATTCAGGGACAGGGTTGACTAATTGGGGGTTAATTAGCTACTAAGCATCAGAACCTTGTCATGCTCTTACCCTTGTGACATTTTAGAGAAATACAGGCTAATGCATTTCCTTCTGTATTACATTAAGTCGGTTATTGTGGCTCAGCTGATGTTGAGTAATGTGCCCAACTCCTAAAAGTAGAGGAAAATTAGCTGTTTCTTAAGTCTGTTTCCATTAAGAGGAACGCATGTTTTACTTGGATGTTGTGGGGATGAGTCACGTTCCTGTAAGTATTTCTGTATGTTTATCTTGTGATTTATATAACCGAGTTATTAATTTATATTCTGTCACAGAAGATAATCCAGTTCTATCCCCTTTATAGGAGAGATTGATGTGTTATATTCATAAATAAAGTTGGAACCCTGTACATCACTAATTTCTGCAAGATTGCCCTGGAGCAAACCTAGGTTGGGGTGTTTTTTTGTTGTGAAAAATGATAAAATGTACAGGACTAATTTGAGTACGGGACTTGGATTCCAAAACCAGGAGTTTTGTTGAATTGATACAGTAGAAACCAGACCTATGATCTGAAAATGCTCTCAAGTTATGCAGGTGCTTAAACTCACTGTACGCCTTGGTGTTTTTAAAGCCTTCGAGGTGTCCTGCTGGTAACCGTGTCAAAGGTTACCAGCATTGCCCTGTGTGAGCAATGTGATCTTTCTCTCTCATCTAATCCATGCCAAATCCTTTTGGTCTTGCGCCTGGTCCCCCAAGGGTGCTGGCACGTAGGCCTGCCCAGAGTGTGCATGCCGGACCCCACTGGGATCTGCTGACAGTGGCGCTCATCTCGGTGCCAACTTTCTGTGGTGCATTTCGGCAGGCAGCAGCGGGCTTCTGCCTTCCACCCCGCCGCTCGCCCTGAGCAGGGTCAGTCTCGCAGCCTGGGTTTCTCTCCCACAGGTTTTCTTTCACAAACTGGCAGTGTGCTGGGATGTGGCTAGAGGATCCCTCCTGCCTAGCTCAGGGAGCTCTGATTTCTCTGTACTCTGCAAGTCACGCACGGCGGAGTAAACCTGCAGCACGCCACCTCACATTTATGCCTTCAATTTTCCTTACAGCATCCTCAGTCTTATGGCATGAGCTTGTCACTGCGGTCTGTGAAGGTGGCAAAAAGGATCTGTGTTCTAAATGTTAATAGATAGTTGGATAGGGTTAGTTTGATAGAGTATTAATAGCTGTTCTTTGACTATCCTTTCAATAAAGCATGCATCTTTCTTCCTGTCTCACATCTTCCCTCTCCACTTAATTAATTTCTAAAACTCAAGAAGGTACATCAAATTTCTGACATCAGGAGGCTAAGGAAATAAGTCCTCAACCATAACCGGAGAGCAGGGCTTTATGTTTAAAAATAAAATAGGTGTTTTATTCCTTACTCTGAATGAGTAGCATTCTCCAGCGGAATGCACAGTACATGATCCCATTCCCTTTCCTGAAGTTATGCATATTGTAGTCAGGTATTTTTTCAGCAGCTTCTTAATAAGGGAGATAAATGTAGCATGCTGAAATTCTGTATTGATTGAATGCAGTTCGCTAAACTTTATGATGCGCTTTAGTGAAGCTTCACTCCATCCACGCTGCAGTTGTTTCCACTACAAGCTGGCTTGCTGCCATAAGGAGTGTTACTAGGTAGGTGGGAAAAGATGCATCGCCGTGCCTGCAACTGTGATTGAGTAGAAGGGACTCAAATGCTATTCTTTAGCATGACATTGAAGAATACAGTTGGCTTTTTGCAAAGGTTTGTTTGCACCCAGTCCTCTAATCCCTGGAGCTGTAGATGATCAGATTTGGTTGTACCTCAGCCCCATCACCAGCAGAACCCCGGGGAAAAAGATGTTCCTTAACTCAAGTGTAATCTATGTGCAGCTGTCAATCATTTCTTTAAGGCACTAGATGCCATCATTGTCACCGTTTAAACATGACGCTAATCATATCTTCCTTGTCAAGTGTTATCGTGTAATCTCTAACATTTTTTATGGCCTCCTGGAGTTTTAAACCAAATGGCAAACTAGAAATGGAAAGGGAGACAGGGCTGGATGGCCCAGGCTCACTGCGAAGTGCGTTACCATTTCACCATCAGTCTTGAAGATGAGATTCCAGTCAGTAGCATCAATGGTGCTTCAGGGATTCCTTTGAAGACGTGATTTCTCACTGTAGTTTTTCTGAAGGAACCTAGCTGAGCACCAGCAAAACAATATTTTGCTTTCACATCCTGCTGCAGATGAGGATTATGAAAAGCATATACTAGAATCAGCACAGACAACTTTTCAGTCATTAAATTTATTTTATTTGATTGGTAGACTGTTTTTTCTTATATCTCCATATGCAAAATCAGGTTGTTTCCATTTTGCAACAAGACTAAGTGGACCGTGGCAGGGAGCAGCTAAAACTTAGTTATCAGTTAGAATTCCAAGAGTTGGGGTTGTAAGTTGTGCTGTCAATCAGTCTGACACCTGTCAAAGGAGAGGACACTGTGTATCCACTAGACATATGGAAGGAAATATCTAGCTGATATTAAAGCCTGGTCAGAATAGGACTGAAGTATGAACAACGTGTTTGCCACTGCCATACCTCTTTGGGAGCCTGAATTCTTAAGGAGAGGTGAAAAGGAAGATCTGTTGGCAGGGGCCTCCTTTGGCTGTTTTTAATTGTCTTAGTCAATAGGGAGCTATTCTGCAGGTTTTCTTAAAAAAAAAAAAAAAATCAACTTTTTTGACATGAAAAATAATCTGTTCATGCAAAATCTCAGCTGAGGGGCTCTTCACCTGCTCTGTCTTCAACTTTCTGCACTTACCTGGCTGTCTCAGACAGCTGTTTGGTCTTTATGACACTAACAACTTACGTAACAGGTTCTGAAATTTGTATTACTCTTCAGAAGAGCTCAGAAATTACTTTAGTCATCAAGGTGAAAGGAATATTTTCATCTAGGTTTTCCACTCTTCTCTATTTCTCTCTTGTATTTCTTCTTTCCTGTTTCGGAAGACTGGAAAAAAAACACTATTGTAGGAACTGCCTTAGCTCCAGACACAAGAAAGCGCTCTCAATTATTGAATTCTCCCCATTACACAAAACAGGTGTAGAAAACATAAGATAATTGAAGTTAGAATTAGTAATGTGTAAAAACGCAAGGATAAGCAGAGTACATAGCCTTTAAACTCACTTAGAGCATGATGTCAGACCATATTTGCAGACAGTGAAGACCCTGCTTTTCCAGTTGCAAGTTTAACTTTGGCTTTTCATCACATCTTACAGCAGGGTGTCCTTTACGAACACTGTTATGTGTACACGAAGTAGCAGTGGTGCTTTGAAGCCACTACAGGGTTTAGTAGATGGGTTTAAACAGATGGTGTCACAAAGGGCCCAGAGGTAAATGACTGTATTTCTCCGTGTCTTGTTAGGCTATGATGTTGCATGAAAAATACTGCCAGATCCCTTTTCCACAGAGAACAGGAACTTCAATTTTCAGAGTTTTGGGTTTTTTCTTTTTTTTTTTTTTCTTTTTGGTTTGGTTTGTTTGGGTTTGTCTTAATAAATAAATAAAAAAAAAAGGTAAAGCAGAGCTTTGTTAGAGACTTTAAAGGTTTTCTGCCATTTGCTATTCTTTCTTGTGGTGGGTTTACCCTGACTGGAAGCCAGGTGCCCACGAAAGCTGCTCTGTCACACCCCTCCTCAGCTGGGCAGGGAGAGAAAATATAACAAAAGGCTCGTGGGTCAAGACAAGGAAAGGGAGAGATCACTCACCAACTACCGCCATGGGCAAAACAGACTCGAACTGGGGAAGCCCTGAGAAATTAGTTCAATTTGTTAACAATCAAATTAGAGTAATGAGAAATAAAAATAAAACCTTAAAACACCTTCTCCCACCCCTCTCTTCTTCCCCGGCTCAGCTTTGCTCATGATTTCTCTCTCTCCTCCCTGCCAGCAGCACAGGGGGATGGGGGTTGTGGTCAGTCCATCACATGTCATCTCTGCTGCTCCTTCCTCCTCAGGGAGAGGACTCCTCTCACTCTGCCCCTGCTCCAGTGTGGGGTCCCTCCCAAGGGAGACAGTCCTCCACCAACTTCTCCAATGTGAGTCCTTCCCACGGGCTGCAGTTCTTCATGAACTGCTCCAGTGTGGCCCCCTCCCACAGGGTGCAGTCCTTCAGGAGCAGCCTGCTCCAGATTCCCACGGAGTGAGGGGCTCTGTTGGGCACAGCTGCCTACTCCAGCGGGGGGCCCTCCCCCGGCTGCAGGGCGGTCTCTGCTCCCCCATGACCCTCTATGGCTGCAGGGATACAGCCTGCCCTCTCACCATGTCTCCAGCCCTCTCCTGGGCTGCCAGGGAATCTCTGCTCCAGTGCCTGGAGCACCTCCTCCCCCTCCTTCTCCACTGACCTTGGTGTCTGCAGAGTTGATTCCCTCGCATCTTGCTCTCTCTGCGAGATTTCTCTTCTCATTCTTTTTTTTCCTTATCAGACATGTTATCCCAGAGGTGCTACTATGGTCACTGATTGTCTTGGCCTTGGCCAGCAGGAGGTCCAAAACCCTGCCACACAAACCCAATGCAGTGGTTTATCTAAAAGTCATTGTATAAATGCA